CATGGGTCACAAACCAGCCCACGCGTTCCCCAGCATCACTGCACCCTGGACTGCCTGGGACCGCTCCAGGTTCTGGCATAGTCAGGATTGTTTTTCCTTTTTACACTCATTACTAAGCCCATAAACCTGTTTTTGTGGTAAGCTGGTGAATAAGGCAATCTCTTCCATGCATTAAGGCAAAGCTAACCCTTCAACAGGTGCAGCATCAGAGAAGGAGCCTTTTGCTGGCTTAGCGTTGGGTCTCTTCTCTCATCATGTGCGTTGCTGCGCCCCTCTGGGACTGAGCCAAGGGGTTCAACAGCACCACTCATTCAGCTGCTGATTCCCAGACTGTGTTTCTATGCACCTATCCTGCATGAATTAAACATGGCCAGGATGAACGGGGCTTTCAGCAATCTGGTCTACTGGAAGGTGTCCCTAACCATGGCAGGAGGTTGGAACTAGATGATCTTTAGTGTCCTTTCCAACCCAAACCATTGTAGGATTCCCAATACAACCAGGTCCAGGATGACTTTTTCACCTGTACTGAAACATGCTGGTGCTCAGCTCTTCCACTGGAGCTGCTCTGTCCTTCTGGAAAGGCGGGAAGTCAGGTCCCTGCCTGCAGGACCCTGGGCCAGGCTGGCACTGCCCACAGCTCACCAGAAGCAGCACAGCCACTGTGCACACAAACTGCCTCTTCCTCCCTCCACTGCCAGCCAAGGCTGAGCAGCCAGAACGTCTAATGAACTCATAAATACATCAGTCACTTCAGTTAAAAAAAAATAATACACTCGTATTTAAACTTTGATTCAGGGGTATTTCTTTCAAACTAGAATTAAAGTCCTTATTATCTCTTTTATAAGCTTAAAATAATTTGGGGTTAAACCTTTTGTTAACATCTGGTAATCACAAGAGAAGTGAAACTGCTTATTGACCTGTCCCTGTTCTTTCTAGGGACAGAGTAGTCAGCAGACTAGGCACCACTGGTTTAAATGCATGTGCAGACCCTGCTCTGGGCCCTGCTGCGCAGAAAGCCCCACACAGAAAATAGTCAAGGGAATAGAGCAGCCTCCTTCTGCCCAGCAGGGTAGCATTCCCCAGGAGCAGGTTTGCAGGAGGCCAGTCCCACCCTGGGTGCAGGGTGCTCACAGGTGACCTATGCCCAGAATCCCCCAAAAGTCCCATTTCCAGGCACTGCCCATTCAAAAGCACTCAGGTTTTGGGATCCCTCGCATCCCAAGCAAGCCACATGCTATTCTTTTTTCCTGTAACACTGTTTTCTAAGTCAGCTCTGGCTGCATTCACCTTCCCAGGATGGCAGCTTCGGTGTTTTGCTGGGTGAATCTGGCTTTGTGCAGGTCGAGGGGTGAGCTCCCCCATACCTCCTGCCAGGGCGCATCTCCCTTCAGCACCAACCACTGTTTGCTCCCGTTATCTTTAAAGGGCTTTCAGACGATGACCTGGCCAGCATTGTGGACGGTGGCTACAGCCCAGACAAGAAGAAAGGTAAGCACCGACCTACAGATGTTTGCGTGTGCAGTTGCAGCTCAGGCAGTAATCAGCAATAACCAAACTCCGAGAAAGCACAGTGCACAGAGCAGAACTTGCCTTCTTGTGGGGAAAGGGGGTCTCAGCCGTGGAGCCAGGGGAACACAGTGTTTTTGGCCTCCATGGTCACACCTTGTGCCAGCGGTTGGACGTGCTTACTTGTGATGCAACGGAGGCTCTTCATCTCCAGCTGCCACCAGGGCAGGCAGGACCCACGTCTCCACTATCACCTCGAGAGCAGATGCCCACCCCTGTGCTGTGGGCACGAGCCTGTAGCTTCTTTGCCTTCTACCATGTGACCACCGATGGTTGGAACAAGGAGGATAACCAGCAACAACCGTTAAGCCTCTGCATTTGCAAGGATCCACCGCATTAAATATTAAACGCCGTCGAGTAAGGAGATGAAAACTGCAAGTCCAATCAACATTTAATGAATCCCCGTGCCAAGGACGAACCACATCAGAGGGATTAATACAATGCTGACCTGCTTCCATACATTCAGGATCTAAGTGACTCGGTAAGGACAGCAGCTTCCAGCAGGAGTAGCTTCTCCTCCCAGCCCAGTTTCTCCAGGGAAGGTGATGTTAAAATAGACTTCAAGCCAAGTAAGGATTCCCTGACATGATGGAGCTTAGCCAGTAACCTCCCTGTCACGGTGCAAACCTGATGTGTAACTGACAGCATTTCATTTGTTCTCTATGCTGAGAGCAGCAGAGGTGTCAAGGAGTGGAGGTGAGGTTCACTGTGTGCAGGCAGAGGTGTCTCCCACAGCTCCCCACAAGCACACACAGTGGGATAGGAGCAGGTTGAGACCCCTCTGAAGAGCAAGGACGAGCTGCAGAGGTTTGGGTCAGCAAAGAAACTGTGCCCATAGGGATATATTTCCCCCTCTGCCCAGGGATGCCCCTGGGACCGTGCTGCCCCTCTCCTGCATCCCTGCTCCTTCCCAGGATGCCTGGCGTGTTGGGGGGGGCAGAGGGGCAGGGGGCTCTCATGGGTTTGTGTTTCTTGCAGGTGCCGGGGGCAGCACTGACAACGACTACAGTGGAAGTAGGTACCACCATGGCTGTGGGGCCAGCAGCGGGGCTGTGGGATAGGGGGTGTTGTGTGCTCCCACCACACAGCACCCCGCTCTCTCTGCACCCCACAGGCAAAGTGGCAGACACAGGGACGATCGCTGGCATTGCCAGCGGCCTCGCCATGGCACTCATCGGGGCTGTCACCAGCTACATCTCCTACCAGCAGAAGAAGTTCTGCTTCAGCATCCAGCGTAAGTCCCCACCGAGGCGTCTCAGGGGCACAGAGTAAGCATGTCCTTATTTGCCCCTTGAGCCCTACTGCCATTTTCCAGCCTGGAGACAGGAGTGGGGTGTCAGGCATCCAGTAGCAGACCAAAACGCCAGCCATGGGTCATTGAGACCCCTCACCCATCAGGGCAGGAACTCACCAGCAGCAACAGCCCCAGGACCCATTGCAGAGCCTCTCACAGACAGTCACAGCCAAGGACCAAACCAACAACACCAAACACAATAAATACGGATAAAAAACACACCACCCCAACACAAACAAACCAAAACCTCCCCTCTCCCCCCAGAAAATATCAGCAAGAGGCAAAAACTCACCAGGTAGTAGCAGCAGAGGAAGGACAGCAAGCATCTGCAGCTACAACAGCCCTGGGTGGTACAACCCACCCCAGCCTGCTGCAGGTGTGCAGCAATCACTGCAATTAAGTGCAAATCAAACAGCAAAGCTTCCCATTCCCACAAAGCACCATTTGCACGAGCTGCCCATCAGGTTGCTCTATGTAGGCACTGCAGGAGGTGTCCAGCAGCATCACCCCACAGCACTGGCCTGGCCATGGTGGGGTCCCGCAGCCCCTTATGGGGTGGTTGCAAACAGCTAGAAAAAGATCTTTTTAAATTAATCAAATAAAATCTGCAAGTCTCCTTTGCTCGGGGGAAGGGTGTTCAGGGTTGGAAATTTCTGTTGGAATCGTGCTATTTTCCCAGTTGTGCCTGAAACAAACGGGAGCATTTTGGTAAATTAGATCAGCAGGGAAAGTCAAATGAATGTGATGGAATGAAACGCCCTTGTATATTCCCTCCACTTAAATGATATTTTGGCAAGAATAAATAATAATAAAAAAAAGAGTAAAGGCTTTGATGAGGGGAAAGCTGAGAGACACAAAGCCCCAGAAAGGCAGCAGGAAATTAAAGTTAATTATAAAGGAGGATTAATTTAAGCCATCAGACATGGCATGCTGGGCTAATGTCAGGCCTTAGATGCATTGCAATGCATGACAGAAATCTAAGAGTCATCAGCCACTGCAAAAGTGACTTTTTATTGAAAAACATAAATTGCATTTGGTGTTACCCCAGCAAAACATATGTCTTGGTGGGGGGAGGTGGTGGAAAGCAGTGCTGGTGTATGACCACTCTCCTGATGCTCAGAGGAACGAGCTTGGCTCTTCTCCTTGCCCACCCATGGGCTGTAGTGAGGCTTTGGCACCGTTTCTTGGTTTTCAGTCTCTTCTGATGAGTGTTTGCTGATTCCTCTGGAGGATGTGCACATATATTGTTCTTTATCCCACTTTCTTCTCTCACAGCACATCTCCCACTCGCTAGCCATGCCCTGGGCTGGGGCTCAGCCTCCTGTGTCCCACTGCATGCCCAGGCAGGATGGGAACTGTTGGTGCTGCCCTGACAGCTCCTCTCCTCCATGGCTCAACAGCTGCAGTGTCAGTGCTGGAATGGGGGTTTATGGTATTTTTTTAGCCAGTTTCTATCTAAAACTGCTGCCCCATTGCTACGTGAGGGCTCCCATTGCACTGCTTTGACTGAGCCCTAGCAACTGAGGTACAGGTGAGCCCCCCCCTGGCTGTGCATTTGTTGCAAACACTGGAAACTTTGCATTTAAGTAAGGGTCTTATTTGGGATTTGGGACCCTGCCTCATCACCACAGCCCTGCTCTAAACTGCTTCTTGCAGCTCTGCATAACTTAGCTTTTAATGAGAGCGAGCCTATCTCTCTGCACTCGGTCCTGTCCGGAAGATGTACCCACTCCATGCTCTCCTAGTTGAGTGCCTCAGTGCAGTAATGAGGCTTGCTGCCCCACATGGTAAAGATGAAGCAAGAGGCTCAGTAAAAAGAGCTGCTGCTAGAACCTGTGCCTTCTAGGCAGGCCTCTCTGCTCACTTTATAATCCAGCAATGCTTTCTCAGCACCGTTTATGGTTTGCTGATGTTTCCGTACTGCTGTTAATGCAGAGGAGGTTGCAAAAAGACATATTTGCTTTTACAGCAGGTAGGCCCATTACCAGAGTATTTAAGGCATCAAAGCAAATCATTGTAACTTTCTACAGTCCTATCTCACTTTCCTTATTATTACTTCTCAGAGGGACTTAACTCGGAGTACGTGAAAGGAGAAAACATGGAAGCTGTCGTAAGTGAGGAACCCCAAGGTGAGAACCTTGCACTCCTTACCCTGTCTGCATCTGGCCACAAAGGCAGCTTTACTGAGGGACTGTAAGAAAGTCCCTTGTGCTGCACTGTGTCACTTTTATGAAGACACCACTTAGGAGATGCTGCAGCTTTTTGTTTTTCCCCCTTTATTGCCCACAAAGCAAAGCCATGGTCAGAAACTAGAGAGCTCATGCTGCAAATGATGGCAGTTAGTATTTAGCTTTTGTGGTTTCAGCCATCGAGAGCGTCTCATACAAGAAAATCATAATCAGGGATATTTCAAAGGCTTATCGAATGTCACATACAACCAGTACTGGGCACCAACCCAGTTGCCTGTGCTCAGGTCCTATCATGTGCTATTGTATTGATGATTTTTTCTTTCTTCCTAGTCAAATATTCAGTCCTGGAAACACAGTCAGCAGAACCACCAAAACAAGACAGTGCCAAGATGTGAAGCATGACCCAGGGCTAGAAGAGAATCAGTCAGCAACGAATGGAGATCTTACATGCTTGTAATTTAGCTTTTTATTTAATTTGACTCCAAAGCTATTTAATGTGTACTTAGGCTTGAACTGGCTTCTTACTGCTTTAGGCTTTAGGGTTAGAGTGGGCGTGTGTGTTTATTTTTTGTAAAGAGGTACATGTTTACACCAAAGTAAATTGTAGGTTTGATGTCCAGTTGTATGCAAACCAACAGAATGTGCTTCAGCAGTGATCAGTTTTAAATTAAGGGACAAGGTCTTTTCCAAGAAGCAGAGGAGCTTACAGGTGGGAGGCCAGCGAAGTGCCTGTGAGTAGCAATCCAAAGGAAACCACTCAAAGTCTTTGTAAAGCACCTCCAGCCAAATTCTGCTATCAGCTATGGGCATGTCACTTCCAGCTGCACGTTTCCTGAGGGTAGACTGTGGTCCTTAGTATAGCTACACCTAAAAACGAAGTGCTTATGGATAGGTCCTCAGGTGGAGCCTCGGGCTGAGGCAAGTGACTCCCTGCTCCCAAGCCAAGAGAAGGATGCTGTACCACCGCCCAGCACAGGACTTCTAACCAAATAAAAGGACCTCATTTTCACACCAAGTCATAAGTACAGCAGTTGAGTGCAGTTCTCACTTATAGCAAATACCACTGGAATACTTGACTATGCTAGAGATCAGAATGGAGCTGAAGGTGCCAAGCAATAAAGTTTGTCTGTGCAACTATCTATGTCATCACCAAAATAGAAAATGTGTGTGTTTAGATGCTTTCAAGAACAGGTTCAGACCTCACTAGAACAAATTACAGATTTAACCCCAAAGAAAATAAACAAAGTAGGTATCTGTGAAGACCTGTGTGCTTGCTACCACAGAAATCAAGCTTAGCAAGATGCAGTCCCCCACCTTCTCCTTTTATCAACAACTGCTGAGAGCACTCTGTGGCACCCAAGGCAGAAAAAGGATCTAAAGCATTGTGCTACCAGCTACCCTTTAGAAAAGGCAGTCTCCTGAAAGGATGGGTGCTCCCTCCATCACTGTCCTGCATGGGGCTCCTACAGGTCTCTGGGAAACATTGGGTTGTGAGCAGTGCTCAGCAGGACACTGGGTTGCCAACAGCACCCCAACCCCGAGTGCTCATGCAACATGGAACCACTACCCACAACCTTTGCCATCTTGCAAGAATTTGTGTTTGTGTTTCTAATCTTTCCCCTTCCCCTACTAAATGTGGATACTGCCACTTCTTGACACATTTATCCAAAGCAATGATTGTTTAAAAAGCATGCTTCAAGTGAAGACAAATTCACTTTACGTAGTGTAAGAGGTACTTACTATTTATATATAAACCTGAAATGTGTGCATTTTGTAATGTTCTGCAAATCCCATACTTTGTGAATGTGTATTAAACAAAAAGCCTTCCAGTTTGATGTAGAAATTCACAGCTTTCAGGTCAACACGACTCACAGAAGGCTGGCAGGAGGTGGATCAGCCTAGGAGTACTGCTGCCTAACAAACAGCCCCATTTGGAGGGAAATTGCCCAGTAACATGGTTAAGTATTTTGCAGTAGCTGCACAATTCTTTCTGCTCTTTTTAACACTTGCATTTTTAAAGCATTACACTAGCTCTAGCAGAACAACTACAATGTTTTATAAGGGAGACAAGTTCTAGGCTCATGGTGTCTTGTGTATTCGGAACACTTGGGCTACAACAGCACTGCTGTGAACTATGGCTGTTTTGTTTTGTGAATGAGTTTGGATTAGAAAACAAAAATATTTCATGATGAGTGAAATGGAGGAGAGTGGAAGCAGAGGAAATAGAGATGGGATGCGCTTTGTGTTTGCTTACTCCCAGAGGATCTTCATGGAGGAAGCATGGTCTGCAGGACTGGGATCATCATGTGCAGGAGCTGATGCCGATGAAGCCACACAGCTGTTTGTGCATCTCCATTCCCAAGCACCGTTGCCTGGGTTTTTTTCTTAGCCAAGCACATTTGACAGCTGTAGCATGAAAAATGTTTTTAGAAAGTTACTGTAGATGAAGTGTTACAACTTGGCATTGAGGATCACGCAAAACAGTTTTCCTAGTTCAGATCAAGCGACTGTAATTCCCTTTCTCCTTTTGCAGATGACCGATGTGTTTTTTTGTAGATGCAGATAATCGGGTTTAGTGCATTTCCATTATAGTGGACAGTGCAATGGAATGTCCCACATTGCTTACAGAATATAGTATCTCCCCCTCCTTTTGGAAACTCTAGAACACTAGGACATCAGAGCAGCATGTGTCTAATTTACAAATACTGCAGTTCAGAGAAGAAAAACCAGCCTAATAAAAAGCTGTTTCACTGAACAAAAAAATCCCAAGAGATTTTAGAACTCAGAAGTTGCTCCTTTCCCCAAGGCCTTTTCTAAGAATACATACACCTTTGTGTGATTTCTAGGTATGTGGAAAACCATAAATGCACAGTGAGAAAGCAAAAAGTCAAAGTAGCAGAATTCCAGATCTCTTTCTCTGGGATTGAAAATAGGAAAATATTGACAAATACTGCAGTAAAGAAATTAAACTTGGTCTTCAGAACTAGAGGAAAGTCAAAGTCTTAACGTGCCAAGTGTTAGTGAAGGCTCACACTGGTTTTACTGCAGTCTATCTCCTCCATGTGAACTGTCAGTCTCTGAGATACAGGAAATTTTAAAACACATCATCTGTATTTTAGGCATTATAACAACTGAGAGGATTCCTGTGTATTTCCCTAGTAGTGATCCAAGTTCAGAAACAAGTGACCCAGCAGTGACCTCTCTAACTTACTTTCACTTAACTGGTATCCTTCTGAAAACTGGATATGGAATTTTTACAAATCCTGCCCTTAGGCTCTGTATATGTGATAGGAACTTTCTCATCCTTTATTAAAAAAAAGGCCATAAACCACTGGAAAACTGGTTTGTTGGTTGGATTCCACCCCCCCACCATGAGTCCAAAAGTTACATATACAGCTATCCTGAGAGTTTACGTACTAACTGCTGTGAGCTCTTTTCTAACCATACCTCACTTCAGCTTAACTAAAGTGTTTTTAAGTAGCAATAAAATGATTCAGAAAAGTTTGCTCAATTACAGAGAAAACAGAATTGGAAGAATTTAACTAGCTCATTTATTCTATCAATTACTTGCATTTTCATTTGGCAATATTGTAGCAGTTTCTTCATTGGAGATTTTGCAATACTGTATTAGTTTCTTGGGTTTAGATTCTTCAGCTGAAAATACTGACATGAATATCAGATTTTTTTGGCACTATAAACTCAAGTCATTTTAATGCAACCCCACTAATGAACCCTTACAAGTGCTATATTGTCATTCTTAACTACTCAGCAGTTGTGACAAAAGCAGAATTAGCCCATGATACCATTTCAGATTCTGAGAAGGTAAGATGAATTGACAGGCTGAGGCTTTAAAAACCTGCTTCTGCAACAAAGGAGGTTCAAAAACAAATGAAGTTCAGCAACACGGTATTGTGAAACCAGAGAATCTTTCCTTTTGAATCCTTATTTAAAAGCAAAGTGTATTGTTTGCAAATGCAGAAGTGATCTATACCAAATGAAGGTTGATTGTTACACTGTGAGAAAACAAGATTCATTTTGCTAATGTGCATGTAAGGATCAGGGGGGTAAAAGTCAGAATCTGACTGCCATTGGAAAACACCAAATAAAACAAGTTGACAGGACATGTTAGACTTGATTATTTTGTGATTTTTTTCATGCTGGAAGTAAACTGCAAATGGTGGGCTATATCCTTATTGTATTTTGCCAGGCTGGATGGGGCTTGGAGCAACTTGGTCTCATGGAAGGTGTCCCTGCCCATGGCAGGGGGGTTGGAACTAGATGGTCTTTAAGGTCCCTTCCAACCCAGACCATTCTGTGATTCTATGAGACATCACCTACACTAAAGACTTTATCTAAAAAGAAAAACCAAAACAAAAACGGGGCGTTGTGAGAAAACAATTATCATTATGAAAACTTTAATTTAATAGTAAAAATAGAGTATTTGTACATACAGACATGCTGTCCTCAGGTCATCCAGCAATTTGACTCTAGGTCCCTATGTCCCTGGCCGTGCCCAGCACGGCTGTTTTCTGGTCCTTTTTCTGCAGTTTTCTTTGGATTTTCACATCCCATGCAGTGAAAACAAAGCCTTTAACCATTGCACAATGATGCAGTGCTTAGTCTTGCAGCCCAGAAAGGTGGTTTATGTTTCAAACTAGCTAGTTCTGACTCATACTTCTTGTAGAAATAAAATTTTTTCTTCCCAACTGCACACAATCTGGCAGTCAAAAGATCTCCAATATAACACCCACTTAGTTCAGCACATGGGATCTCTCAGCAAATGGACATTCTTTTTAACAGAAATGCTTCACCTGGGGAATTCTACAAATTGCCCATTTTACTTTGTCTGCTGCAGGGCAAAATGACATGAAAAGCGCCTGTTGATTTCCTATTTCCCGCTTTTAAAGAACCAGCATTCTTGGTATTGCTATATAAAGCATATGAATTACTACTTTTTTTTCTCAGAAAATATGAAAAATCAAACACTTCTTGTTTAAAACTCCTTGAAAGGAAAGCTGCCTGTTCAGGGAACAAAACCAGGCAGATAGGAGTGTTTACCAGCTTTATAAGCTGCCTTCTATTTTAATGAAAAACCAACAAAAATACTTTAATCTACAGTGAACAAAAGAGTGTAATTCAGCTCTGAAAAAAGGACTAAAATGGCAAAATGTCTGATGGTGATCATTCACTTAACTACCTTTACAAGCAAAAAATACTTCAGTTGATTACCAAGGCTTCATCCTATTCTGGGACACTGGATTCAGGTTGTTCCCACTCTTGCACGTCATTCACAATAACAAAATCCTACAGGTCAAACTTAACTGCCTGCTTCTTTACACATTCCCTTTATACTCAGCACAGTCAAAACCAAAAAGCAAAGCAAAAGAAGATCCAG